GAGTATTAATAATTTTCAAAACAAGCATAAACAAAATTCATGATTGAGGGGTGTTAATAATTTCATAAAAATTGATATTTATTATTAATATTTATTAATAAATTAATAATTTTCAAAACAAGCATAAACAAAATTTATGATTAAGGGGATGATAATAATTTTACAAAAATTAATATTCATTATTAATATTTATTATTAACGCTCATCTTCGAGTATTAATAATTTGATGGAAATTATTAACATTGGTCTACGAATTTCGTAATTAACTTTTCATACTATTCCCAATCTATTACGCAAAACAAAGGAACAAAATAATTTGAAACAAACATAATCGTTGAATTGCAATAGCTATTAGCAATAGCTATTGCACTGCATAGATGGCTATATGCAATGTACTCTCTATTGCCATAACCGGGGTATCCGTAGCGGTACCTGATCTATTCACTGAATATTCTACCTGTACTTGTGTTTGTTTTGAACTGCTTTGTTTCTTTGTTTTGCATAATAATTTGTGAATAGTATGAAAAATTAATTACAAAATTCCAAGACGAGTGTTAATAATTTTTATACAATTTTTATAAAATTATTAACACCCTTCAATCATAAATTTTGTTTTTCTTTGTTTTTAATTGTTTTGTTTCTTTGTTTTGCATAATAATTTGTGAATAGTATGAAAAATTAATTACAAAATTCCAAGACGAGTGTTAATAATTTTTATAAAATTATTAACACCCCTCAATCATAAATTTCGTTTGTTTTTAATTGTTTTGTTTCTTTGTTTTGCCTAATAGATTGGGAATAGTATGAAAAATTAATTACAAAATTCCAAGACGAGTGTTAATAATTTTTATAAAATTTTTATAAAATTATTAACACCCCTCAATAATAAATTTTGTTTTTGTTTGTTTTTAATTGTTTTGTTTCTTTGTTTTGCATAATAATTTGTGAATAGTATGAAAAATTAATTACAAAATTCCAAGACGAGTGTTAATAATTTTATAATTTTTACAAAATTATTAACACCCCTCAAAAAGAAATTCCACCCATTATTTAATTTCCACATATTCCATCCACTTCTCACGAAACCAAAACCTAAACTACATTTCCTCACGACTACCTGTATCCATCCTCCACCTCCTCACTCTCAAACAATTCGTTCTAATCATATACACGATTCCCTTCTTGCTTCCCTGCCAAACCAAGACCCATCGAAAATTCAACGAAACGAAATTCAATATCCCAAGAAGACGCCCACTGATACGATAAAACCATCTCTATCTCGACAACAAAATTCTCTCGTTCCTTCGAAATCCTGCGAACAACGTACCAAACATACCAATCCTTCGAAATTATGCATCGGGCCCCACGCAGGGCACACCTACGCGAGGACCTACGGGGTTAAGATCGTTGACACAGTTGCTCGAATAAGCTCGGATTTATTTCGTACCACCCAGGCGACGTTTGCAGGTGATCCAGGAGCTTTATCTCGACGGATCGTCCGTCGGGTCGGTAAGACACGGGAAATTCGCATAGCGAGAGCCGGGCCCGGCTCTGCGAGAGTCACCTTACCCTGTATAATGGATACATTTGCTCGTTTATGGTTACCAAAGCGGAACGGGGCGAGCGATGATTGATGTCGCACGCGATATGCGCGCGGGTTATGAAAATCGGGGCAATTGGGGTATCAAACACGGGATTATGGGCGGCGACTAATCATCGCAGTCGCGCTGGCCACTTTCGCGGCTCGTTCTTGGTATCCTCAACGAGAAAAGATTGCCAGCGCGATGAGCCACGCTCGGACAGTGATCTACGATCCATCTCGAAGACTCGCTGCACTACTGTTGAAACTTTGATGGATTGGCGCGTTTTTCCTGCGTCGCGATTCGTGATTAGTGGCCGATGATTTGTACCATCGCAGCTGCTCAGGTGGATTTATCGCGTGTTTGATCGTCCCTTTGATCGCCGATCGTGAGTTCCCGTTATTTGCGATAATCATCCCACGAGAATTTCGGGCATTTGTGATTTCCTTTTCGGTTGACTTTGACGTGAATTCGCGTCGTTTCATTACCATTCTCGTGAATTTGCATCAGTTGTTTATCATTGATGCGAATTTGATAATCATTCCATGAGAATTTCTGTCATTTGTGATTTCCCTTTCGGTTGACGTTGACGTGAATTCGCATCGTTTGACTGTCATTCGCGTGAATTTGCATCAATTATTTACCATTCACGTGAATTCAATAATCATTCCACGAAAATTTCCGTCATTTGTGATTTCCCTTTCGGTTGACGTTGACGCGAATTCTATAATCATTCCACGAGAATTTCGGACATTTGTGATTTCCTTTTCGGTTCACGTTGACGTGAATTCGATAATTATTCCACGAGAATTTCTGTCATTTGTGATTTCCTGTTCGGTTGACGTTGACGTGAATTCGCGTCTATTAGTTTGTTTATAAATTATTTCAATTAAATAAAATAAACCTGATGAACTTAAACCATGAGCAATTACTATTAAATAACTTCCATCGTTTGACTGTCATTCGCGTGAATTTGCATCAATTATTTACCATTCACGTGAATTCAATAATCATTCCACGAAAATTTCCGTCATTTGTGATTTCCCTTTCGGTTGACGTTGACGCGAATTCTATAATCATTCCACGAGAATTTCGGACATTTGTGATTTCCTTTTCGGTTCACGTTGACGTGAATTCGATAATTATTCCACGAGAATTTCTGTCATTTGTGATTTTCTTTTCGGTGGACGTTGACGTGAATTCGCGTCGTTTGATTGTCATTCGCGTGAATTTACACCAACTGTTTATCATTGACGTGAATTTCATAATAATTCCACGAGAATTTCGGGCATTTGTGATTTCCTTTTTGGTTGACGTTGACGTGAATTCGCGTCGTTTGATTATCATTTGCGTGAATTTGCATCAATTGTTTATCATTCACGTGAATTCGTGTCTCTTGTGATTTTGCTTTGGGTTATCACAAACGAGAATTCACGTCATTTGTCATTTTCTTGTTAATTGTTGCTGATGTGAATTCGTTTCATTTGTGATTTCACTTTAATTGCCATTAATGCGAATTCACACCACTTGTGATTGTGTTCTTGGTAGTCGTTGACGAGAATTCGCGTCATTTGTGATTCTGCATTCAATTGTCGTTGACGTGAATTCACGTGATTTAGTTGTCACAGACGTGACTCCACGTCATTTGCATTTTCTTTTTGATCGTTCCTGATGTGAATTTGTTTCATTTGTGATTTCGCTTTGATTGTCGTTAACGTGAATTCACGCCATTTGTGATAGTATTTTTGATTATCACTAATGTGAATTCATGTCATTTATGGTTATGTCTTTGGTTATGACTAATGTGAATTCATGTCATTTGTGATTCTATATTTAATTGCCATTAACGTGAATATTTGTCATTTGCCATTTTCTTTTTAATTGTTGTGAATGTGAATTCAAATCATTTGTGATTTCGCTTTGATTACCGTTAACATGAATTCATGCCATTTGTGATTATGTTTTTGGTATCACTGACGTGAATTCACGTCATTTATGATTCTGCATTTAATTTCCGTTGACGTGAATTCACGTCATTTGCCATTTTCTTTTTAGTTGTTGCTAATGTGAATTTACATCATTTGTGATTGTATTTTTGGTCATCACTAACATGAATTCACATAATTTGTGATTCTGCATTTAATTTCCGTTGACGTGAATTCACGTCATTTGTGATTCTGCATTTAATTTCCGTTGATGTGAATTCACGCCATTTGTGATTCTGCATTTAATTGCCGTTGACGTGAATTCACATCATTTAGTTGCCACAGACGTGAATCCACGTTATTTGTCATGTTGTTTTCGATCATTGCTAATGTGAATTTGCTTCATTTGTGATTTCACTTTAATTGCCATTAATGCGAATTCATGCCACTTATGATTAGGTTTTTGCTTGTCACTGGCGAGAATTCACGTTATTTGTGATTCTGCATTTAATTTCCGTTGACGTGAATTCACGTCATTTGCCATTTTCTTTTCGATCGTTGCTGATGTGAATTCCCTTCATTTGTGATTTCGCATTGATTGCCGTTAACTCGAATTCACGTCATTTGTGATAGTATTTTTGGTTATCACTCACAAGAATTCACGTCACTTGTGATTCCGCAATTAATTCTCATTAACAAGAATCCACGTCATTTGATCGTCACAGAGATGAATCCACGTCATTTGTGATAACGCTTTTATGTCCCATTGACGTGAATTCACGTCACTTGTGATCACCGCAATTTCTCTGGAACTCCATATTTTAATACACGGACAATTAATCATCGTACCAAAAAATACATCCGGACTAGCGAAAAATATTCTCGACTTGCACGTTCTCGCGATAAGAAGAGGAAAAAGAAATTCGTCAAGATCATTAGCGTTTCAATCTCTCCATACGCGTGTCCCTCCTCGACAAGGAGCAATCAGCTTTTGAATGTCTTTCTCTCAAACTTTCACCGCGAGGGAACTGAAAAAAGGCTCCCAGCTGTGAGTGCATTAAAAAGTCGAGAATTTTTCGAACCTCCTTCTTCCATCCTGACATCCACTCGTTCGTCGAGCTCGTGCCTATAATCCTTCAACACCGGCCTCGAATTATACCTTGTCACTGACCGCGCGATCCTCCGAGAGGCAAAGACACCTAGAGCCCGCACGCGACGATACTCGTGATAACGATTTCCTGACACCGGATGAGTGATTGCCTGGCGATATGTGAGTGTTGTACTCTATCGACGATTCGATGCTGTATGTGATTAAAGCGAAATTAGACGGTGGCATTGATACGTTAATCGGCGAAAAATGAGGGGGGTATCGATAGGTCCGAGCAGGTGGCTAGAACACAAGGAGACGAGGTTCGGTGACGAGGGCTTGAGAACTTGGCCGCGTATCGAATTTTGGATGGGTGGGCAAATAGAAAGGTGGAAATGGCTTCCTTACCGTCGCTACTACATCGGGAGTCGACCTTCCTCCTTTTCAACTTGAGGTCTTGAAACAAGCTCATGTTGTCTAGCTCACACGGGCTGCTCGTAAGGGTCATAATTCCTGCAAGCAAAACGGTGGAAGAAAAGATTAGAGACTCGTCCATTAATTGATGTACACCTGGAACACGCGTATACAAACACGTGTGTGAAATATCAGAGGTTACGGTGTGTGCGTGACCGAAACTACAGTGTGAGTGCGATTGTCCGTTACTCTGAGAGCCTAGGTTTAGGTGTGTCCCGTGGATGCAGAGACCACCTAACCTGGACTTGGACTCGTTTCTTTAATATTTCGCAGGTATAGTGTCAGATGGGTCCGAGCATATCAAGATCTAGGACGTTAGGCCAATTTCATGAGCAATAAATAGAAGATTATGCACAGTACTGTCAAACATGTGACCACAAATTTGACAATGGATTTTTGATAACAATTTTGTTAAATCTTCTAACTCGCTCGTTTCAATTGATTATGATAATGACGCCATGTTTGTATATCACGTGATCTGTGTGATCCACGTGATGGATTATACAAAGGATTGACAGATTTTAGGTGTGCATGTAGAAACACGGTGTTCCTGCTTTTGAACTTCTTGCGACGTTATCGAGTTAGGGTACCCTAGTGCGTGTCCCCTAGTCCCCCATGAGCACAGTTTAATCATTTTGTTTCGGATGGTACTAAAGTCACTCGACGTTGAGAGGTCGCTGTGCATTGAAGGGGACTATAGTCGTCCAATATCGAGTGCTTATTGCATACTAAAGGTGACTACAGTGTCGAGTAGACACTGTACGCTAAAGAAGACTGTAGTCACCCAATGCAGAGTACCTGTTACTTTCTAAACGTGATTATAGTCAACCAGTTTCGCGTGGTCGATGCATATTAAGGATGATCATAGTCACCAAACATCGAGCGTTCGCTGTATACTAGAAGCAATTACAGTCACGGTGTTCACCGTGTATGGAAAGCGAACTATAGTCGTCTAACTTGGAATGCACGATAAAGATGACTATAGTCACTCTGTGTAGTACTTGCTATTCACTAAGCGTGATCGTAGTCGCTCACCATCGCGTAATTGCTGTATACCATAGCTATAGTCACCTAATGCTCACTGCTCGTTGCACATATAAAGGGTAACTATATCTAGCCAACGAGAGATCATTGTACTCTGACTAGGAGCAACTATATAGTCATCTAATGTCGAGTGATTAGCCTATACTAAAGGTGAATACACTCGTCCAACATCGTCGAGTAGTTCACTTCACTCTATACCAAATATGACTATAGTCTAAAGATGACTATATCCAACCATTAAAATACACATTAATCAACTCCTCGACATTGTTGTCTTAATTACTCTCTCTATTATACTGAAATTTCATCTAATTTATTCACTTTCCTTATTACACTGAAATTTGATTATTCTCCTTAAATTAGTTTCATACAGACTTAAAATAGTCCAAAAATATATACTCCAGACTCAACTGTCCCACGTGAAGGTGTCGTATTATAGTCAGTGTGAACTTGGTCACAAAAGTAGGGTTAAGTCAAGAATTTTACCCCTGTAACCCTATACTTATAATGAGTAGCTACATATATTTCACACAAATGAAAATAATTGCTGTGATACGAGGAAGACGAATGACTATAAACGATTATGTTTCAATTCGAATGAAAGTAAGCATAAATTTTTAATAACTCATTTAATAACTCTAAAGCAGTTTATGTGTTCTCAGAAATTTAAGTCAGTTTGACCCCTTCTCTTTCTCTCTCTCTCTCTCTCTCATATTTGCAAGAATAAGAAATACGTAATAGGAAACACGAGTATTTGAATGGATGGCTGAAGATAATCCACGTGGACAGGTTCAAAGGATGGCGCGAATCAGAGTCGCGTCTCGCCAATGTCTGCCACGAAAAACATCTTCATTAATCACGAAACGTCTAGTCACGCTTCCTTTTCATTATACAACAACGGTGATATAGAAACGAACGGCATGGCGATGCTTTCGCGTGGATCGGGTTGCAGCGGAGGATTCATGAATTAAAGAGTGATCCTCATGACGGCTAGTTGCTTCGCCCGCCATTTTATTCTTACCCGCGGAGCGGCCATCGAACGGAAACCTCGTTCGTTGCACTTCGAGAACAATGAACGATGATCGATAATTATAGGATAGAGTCGTAGATTAAGCAATTACGGGTCGTTTCAAAAATCGTGGAAGAAAATATGGCGATTTTTCCCATTGCAGAAAATTGGAAAAATAGTTTTGAGATTGGCCTTTTAGGGTAGAGTACTAACATTGGTCCTTTGTGGTTCTGCATCGTGTTGTATTTAATATTCTATTTTATTTTGATGTCTAATTTTTATATACATGTAAACGATAGTCTTTTGTATTTTAACATAATTCCACAAAAATATGTCAATGTAGAATTAGGGTTATTTATTAATCACAGTTAAATCTTGATAATAAAAATCCTAATTTTTATTTACATGTAAACAATAGACTTTCCTGTTTTAATATAATTCTATAAGATTATGTCAACGTAGATTATAGTTATTTATTAATCACAATTAAATCTTGATAATAAAAATCCTAATTTTTATATACATATAAACGATAGTGTTTCGTGATTTAATATAATTCCACAAGATTATGTCAACATAGAATTAGAGTTATTTATTAACCAGAATTAAATCTTAATAATTATTATCCTAATTTTTATATACATGAAAACAATAGTCTTTCGTGTTTTAACATAATTCCACAAGATTATGTCAACATAGACTATAGTTATTTATTAATTACAATTAAATCTTGATAATAAAAATCTTGGTAAAGAAAAAAAATCTCACTCAAATTCTGTTCTATTTTAATATTAAAACAGTCGAATAATAGTTTGATATTTTTTCAAATCCACGAAATTAAAATTAGAATCGGATGTTAATAACAAAAATCTCAATGAACAAAAATTATCTTATCAAAATTATAATTTGATAAAACAAGTTGAAAATATTCTATCACTATTCCATTCCTACGTATGGTATAGTAAACCTATGTTTGCTGAACCACCAAACTTAGTACATACTCATGTCACAATTAATTCCCCGACTTATAAGGTTCCCAATATCTCGAAACGAAACGCACATAACTCATTCCACTTTCATAATCACTGTCATATATAGTAACACACAGTAACCATATACACTAACACTCGGTAATTCTATATACACTACTCGCTATATACGACACTATGCCTACAGTAATACAGAAACTGACTGTCAAACCACAGATACATCACCAACCACTGACCACTAAACACACACCTAACCACCCACTTGTAACTCACACTCAACTGCAACACAATAATACACCAAACAGTGATACCTAAACCTAGCAAAATAACAAAAATACTTAAAAAATAATAAAAATAACTAAACACGATCGATTCTGATATAAATAATCCAATTCCATGAGGAAGAGGTTCAAAAATTGCACATAGCAATATGGTACCTTTCCTCACTCCATCCTCAGACCTACCACTGAGCCTATAATAACTCACACCCAACTGCAACACAATAGTACACCAACCAGTGATACCTACACTTAACAAAATAATAAAAATAACCAAATACGATCGATTGAGATACAAATAATCCAATTCCATCAGAAAAAGGTTCAAAAATCGCACGATAGCGATTTGGTACCTTCCCCCATTCAATCCTCAGACCAATCACTGAGCCTGTATCTCACGCCCAATTGCTACATAATAATACACCAAACAGTGATACCTAAACTTAGCAAAATAATAAAAATACCGTAGTATCGCAGGTTTTCCACCTCGTGTACAGGTAGCCTTAGCTTAGAAAGTCACCCAGGGTTCGAAGGCCAGGTCAATCGGAAAAACCCTGGCGAAGAGTCAGGTCCTCAGCATGACCATATTTGCTCATATTGGGGGAGGCTTTTGGAAAACGTGTACATGTCGAGGAAGATATGAAAGAAGGCAAAAGGGGACTAGTGGACAGTTCTTTGCAGACAACTATTGGACGCAATCTTTGGTACAGTTCTTAATAGACAGTTTTAGTTGTGAGCAGTTAGTTGTTGCAGACTGAGTTGCCATTGCGTTGTTAAGTTGAGCGTAGTCCTGAGTTGGGAATCGATATAGATTCGTGTTAATTTATTATTAACACTAGAACTACCAACCCAGTGAAAATGACTGGTCCCAGAATTTTCCTTTTTGCAATCACCGAACGCGTACACCTGCTTTAAGAATAAAATTGGTATCAACTCGTATTAAGAAAGAACCGTAATCGATATATTCACTCGTATTCATCGTATCGCTGAAATTACTATAATCTGTGCACGTTATAGTTAGATACCCATTAAAGATCGGTAGTTCTAGTGTTAAAAAGGAGTTGTTGTTTATTAGACAAATTAGCAAAAAGTCCTGCAGTTAGAGGTATCGTCGCCTTTTAACTCATTGTCAACCCAGTTCTCCAGCATAGAAGTAAATATAGGCAATGATAAACCTGACTCCGTCTATACTCGTCTCTCTAATCCACGAGAATCCAGTATTTTCCTCCGAATGGCCATAATATTTTATTTAAATAAACTCGTTTTATTATTAACACTAGAACTACCA